AATTTCCTATCACCCTCCCATCCCTTTTGTGGAATATGAAGGGCCCTCTGTCAATCCCCTTTTGTTGCTATTATTTTGAACATCCATTTAGCACAAAGATGGTATTCAACAGATCTTGAGAACACCCAAGAGGACGTTTAAACTGTTCCTCACTTCAGTGCTTAGATTTCAACTTAGGGTTCTAATCGTTTCAGAGGTAAAGCTAAGCATGACAGACGAGAGCTTACTTGGTCATCCACGGTCTAAATTCAAGTACACTTCAAAGTAATTGCTGTGTATGAAAATGAAAACGCATGTACTTAGATTCTAGTTTTTCCTTTCAATGAAAGGGAATGACAAAGCCAAAATTCGTAAACCCGGTTACCCAGACTATTGCCATTGTTCGCGCCAAGCAAAAAAAATGGCAGGGGCGCCAGGCTCTTAGCCGTAGATAGTGCATCACTCGCGTATGCAAAGCCTAACCTACTCTAGAACTCACTTATTAACACCACATCAAAATACCGAAAACCCTAACAGAACCACACACAATGTAAAAAAAAAAATGAAGAAGAAGAAAGAAACAGAAAGCTCAAGTAAACCAAACCGACCAGAGTTGCATTGATCTAAAAATTTCGATTACACGAACACTAAATTTCTAGCCCTAGATAGCTCAAAAACCAATCCTTGTCTGCTACGTTTCTAAATAAAAAAGAAATTAAAAAAATTAAGCTCAACATTTCCTTCTGTAATGAAAGCGAATTGCAGAAAATTCCTCATCTATCCAAACAGATGAAAAGATACCAAACCAAAGTAGAAAAAGTTAGAAGGAGCTAGAAAGGCGAAAACCACCTGATTCCTGAAGGTACCGAAAGACGAGGTAATTCAATTCGACGGAAGTGATGGACGTCATGGCAGCAGAAGGCCGGCTGGGAGGCCGGAGAAGGGTTAAACGATCATGCGGGCGAGGTGGAGAGATTTCCAGTGAAGGTCAGTGGGAGGGAAGAATGAAACGGAAACCCGCTTTATGTTAACGGGAATGGGAGAGCCGGTGAAACTGCAGCTTTGAGGCTTCCAGGGTGCCGAATAAGTCGTAGAGAGAAAGAAACCCACGGTCACTTTAACGAGAACCGTCAATGACATTACGGTGCGGCGTCTTAGAGCCTTGTTTTGATGACCCACCAATGCTATACGGACATCTGGCGGTTCTCCTCATTTACTTTGTCCATCTGTCATTGACAGCTGGCGGATCCCGTGACTGCAAACTTAGCTTTTGTAATTGTTTTTCCTAAAATTACAATCCTCTTCCCCATCCCTATTTTTAACCTTTTTCTTTTTTTCTCAAAACTTGGGTCTCATATTTTAGTCCATTTTCACACTAAAATTTAAAAGAGAATAACAAAATTAATAATAATACTTTCTTTTCTTTATTTAACATAACTGAGTCCGACCAAAATTATTCTGTTAATTTATAACAACATTAGGGGTATGCTAAATTTATGGATAAAAAAGGAGGTCTAGAAGCTACAAAAATATCAAGGTCAATATATGGTTGAGATTATTGAAATTTAATTTTGAACTGTGCCAATTAGAACGTGGACGATACTCGATGGACTTTTCTTCTCTTGCTGGCTGCGCTGACTCGTGAAGAAAAATAGAATATTTCAAAATTCATTCACGGAACTCGTATTCATCTCTGCAATTATACTCTTCAAAATTTCCAGACGTGGAGGCTACTCAACGGCTCTCCGTCTCTACTATAAACACACAACAAATTGAATCCCAAACCATTTCAGTAACAGAGCTTTAACTCAAACGCCATGGATTTACACACTTTCCTCTACTCTTTCTTCTCCATTCTGTTTCTTCTTTTTGCTTTCAACCTCATCACTCGATCTCTTCGACTTCGCAAAAACTTACCGCCGAGTCCGCCATCTCTTCCGGTTATTGGCCATCTTCATCTCTTGAAAAAGCCACTCCATCGAAATTTCCAGAATCTCTCCGCCAAATATGGTCCTGTTATGTCTCTCCGCCTCGGATCTAACCTCGCTGTCGTTGTATCTTCGTCGTCAGCGGTGGAGGAGTGTTTCACTAAAAACGATGTCGTTCTTGCCAACCGTCCTCGTTTGCTAATTGGAAAATACCTCGGCTACAACTACACTACCATGATTGGGGCTTCATACGGTGATCACTGGCGGAACCTCCGCCGAATTGGCGCCATCGAGATTTTCTCTTCATCTCGAATCAACAAATTCGCCGATATCCGGAGGGATGAAGTGAAACGATTAGTGCGGAAACTGTCGCGCAATTCGATCCATCAATATTCGAAGGTAGAAATGCAATCGGCGTTGTCGGAGATGACGTTCAACATCTCGATGAGAATGGCGGCCGGGAAGAGGTATTACGGCGAGGACGTGACGGACAAGGAAGAGGCGAGGAGGTTCAGGGAGTTGATTAAGGAGATTGTGGCGGCAGGAGGAGTATCAAATCCAGGGGATTTTTTCCCCATTCTGAACTGGATCTCGAAGGGATTCGAGAGGAAATTGTTTGAATTGGGGAAGAAAGTGGATGCGTTCTTGCAGGGGCTCATCGATGACCACCGCAGGAAGAAGGAAGAAGGAAGGAACACGATGATCGATCACTTGCTCTCTCTGCAGGAATCGCAACCGGCTGTCTATGACGATCAAATAATCAAAGGATTTATACTGGTAAATAATTTTTTTTTTAAATACTTCAAATAGCTCTAAATTGTATTATTAGTAACAATTGATTTGTAGGTGTTACTGACTGCGGGAACCGACACATCGGCCGTGACAGTTGAATGGGCCTTGTGTCATCTATTGAACAATCCTGAAGTGTTAAAGAAGGCAAGAGACGAAATAGACACTCAAATTGGACAAGAACGCCTAGTTGAAGAACCGGACGTGTCCAAACTACCATATCTTCAAGGAATCATCTCTGAGACTCTGCGGCTGACTCCCGCAGCTCCAATGTTGTTGCCCCATTATGCAGCCAATGACTGCACAATACATGGATACGACGTGCCACGTGACACGATGCTGCTAGTCAATGCATGGGCCATACATAGGGATCCAAACGAATGGGAGGATCCCTTAAGTTTCAAACCCGAGCGATACGAAAAGTCAGAAGTCGAGGTACACAAGCTGTTGTCCTTCGGACTAGGAAGGCGAGCTTGTCCTGGGTCTGCCATGGCGCATAGGATAATGGGTCTAACTTTGGGGGCTCTGATTCAGTGCTTCGAGTGGGAGAAAATTGGAGCAGAAGACTTGGACATGAACGAGAGGGTAGGTGCCACAATGACGAAGATGGTGCCGTTGGAGGCCATGTGCAGAGCTCGTCCCACCGTGGATAACCTTCTTGACTGAGGACTATTTATTACAAATTTATAAACATGTGTGCTTTGTCTTTTACTTCCTTAGTTCCTTTGTTCTTGGCATTGTTTGGCTATATGTATATATATATTGCAGCATAATGATAATATTAATTTTCTTGGCATTGACGTTGCACGAGAAAACAAGTCAAACGATATGAAAGAAGAGCATGTGATGCAATAAAATGTATTTAAACTCAAACAAAACTATCAATTTTGAAAGGGCAAAAATGATTGGAACTCGATCAAAGTGGAATCAAAGTTGACGTCATTAAATATTGAAATTATATTATTTTTATAGAGTCTAAACATTAAAAGATAATATTTGTGTTATTTTGTCCAATAATATTGGTGCTATTAAAAATAATAATAATTTAATAATTATATAATATCAACCACAGATCACAATTCCTAAGGTTCTTAAATACTAATAGATATTTGAAACTTGTGCAAACGTATCATCCACTCATTAAATTTTTATATTAAAAAAAGAAAGAAATACCTAACCCACCGCATTTATTATATGTTGAAGAAATCGAGTATGTATAGTTTTTTTTTTTCCTCTCCTTTAAAATAAATACTCACTAACCAAATAATGAAAAATAATTATATCGAATTAAATATACAAATATTTCGTTTTAATGTTGGAAATAAAAGAAAATTTAGAAAAGAAAAAGAAAAATTTGATCCAATAAGAGAAAACTCCAATGCAGAGAGCGATGGGGGCAGCCGACACGCCGCCGACAATGTGGGAACCGACTGCTAGCGGCACTAACGGATGGAGGCGTAAAGCGACGTCGTTGCATTCGTCATGTAATTCCCACTTTCCGTTACGCATTCCATGACGCTCGCAAATTTCCGCAACGTCAATTCCACTACAACTTTTCTTCTTCTTTTGTTTTTTTTTTTTTCCTTTATCTCTATTGTTTTATTATTTTGAACCACTATCAATTTATACTTTAAAATATATTGATAAAAATATCATCAACTTAGATCTAAATATTCACATATAATATCATAATTAATTAGTTAATTTTCAAAATAATAAAATAAAATCTGTACAAATGGGATTTGGAACTAATTAGTTTGAAATAAAGGGTATTTTTCAGGTTTTTGTTTTCCTTTATGGATAATTAACTAATCAAAATAAATTTCTTTTCTTTTTTTTTACTAAACAGGGAAAAAAAAACAAGAGAATGCAAAGGGATGAGCTTCAAATGATCTGTAAACATCGAAAAAGATGGGCGTGGGAGGTGGGGGAAGCATATGACTTTTCAGATAACAAATCTGATTCAATGACTTAATGGTATTTTTCTCATGAATTAAAAAGTAGAAAATATTAAAAGAATAAATATATGATCAAAAAATTGAAAGTTAAAAATCTTGCAATATTAAGTTTTGCTCACTCCAATTTCCATCCCCTCAAACTTGGGTGCCACGTGGCCCAATAATACCGTGACAGCACACAATAATGTATTTTCTCATTTTTGCCTTATCCTTTTCTCACCCTCGTATATTTTAATTTATTTAAAAAAAGAAAGGGCGAAAGGATGTACTGTAAATTGGGCCACGTGTCGGGTTGCCAAATCAGGTGAAGCCTAAATAAATGCCTCAATATATATATACCCCAACCCTGGACCTTGGTTCTCACTTCCAAAATAAGAATTATATCGAACAAAACAAGTAATGGAAGATCGCTCGCTGCTTTACCTTTTGCTCTCCCTTATCTTTCTCCTCTTTGCTCTCAGTCCCCGCCGACGCAGAAACTTACCGCCCGGTCCGCCGTCTCTTCCCATCATCGGTCACCTCCATTATCTCAAAGTCCCCGTCCACCGAACTTTACAGAAGCTCTCTGCAAAATATGGACCCGTAATCTCTCTCTGGTTCGGATCTCGTCTCGTGGTGGTCGTCTCATCATCGGCGGTGGTGGAGGAGTGCTTCACTAAGAACGACGTCGTTCTTGCCAACCGTCCTAGGTTGCTAGTCGGCAAACATGTCGGCTACAACTACACTACGATGGTGGCATCACCGTACGGCGATCACTGGCGGAACCTCCGCCGAATCGGCGCGATCGAGATCTTTTCGGCTTCTCGCCTGAACAAATTCGCCGGGATTCGGAGGGACGAAGTGGAACGGTTACTGAGAAAGCTATCGAAGAATTCGCTCCATGGATTCTCGAAGGTACAGATGCAATCGACGATTTCGGAACTGACGTTCAACATCTCGATGAGAATGGCGGCCGGAAAGAGATATTTCGGTGATGACGTGGCGGACGAGGACGAGGCGAGGCAGTTCAGAGAGTTGATTAAACAGATTGTATCGTTGGGAGGAGTTTCGAATCCGGGAGACTTCATTCCGATGCTGAATTGGATTCCGAATGTCTTCGAGAGGAAGGTTTCGAGACTTGCGAAGAGGACGGACGCGTTCTTGCAGGGACTGATCGACGAGCATCGGAGCAACAAGGAAGAAGAAAGGAACACGATGATCGATCACTTGCTGTCTCTGCAACAATCGGAGCCTGAATTATATGGAGATCAAATCATCAAAGGAATTATTCTGGTACTTTCCGTTATTTCTCACTATCTTTTTATTTATCTCAACATTTCGATTCGGTTGGTTATCCCCCCACAATTTGGCAATTTTCTTTCTGTGTTGGATAATCCCCGGAGAAAGATAAAAATAATGACAGAACACCGCAATAAAATGTGGCCCTGGTTGATCGAACGTCTCACGTGTAACGATAACATTTACCAGAAATATATATATTATATATAATTTATATTTTGGTGATAATTAGGGGCATATAGACTATTGAATACCTATGGTAGTATGAGGCGGCTGCATTTCAGTGAATCATTTTCCATAGTTAGTTGTAACTTGAAAGCGACTTGTCTCTGTTGAGTATTTTATCTTCTTATCTCTCCTTCTACATATTGGGTGTGAAACTGAATAGCTGCTTAAATTTGTAGGTGTTGCTGTTAGCAGGGACGGATACATCAGCTGTAACGATGGAATGGGCCCTATCTCACTTGCTCAACAATCCGGAGATACTGAAGAAGGCTAGAGAGGAGTTGGACGCTCAAATTGGACAAGAACGACTAGTTGAAGAATCAGATGTGCCCAAGTTACCGTATCTTCAAGGAATCATCTCCGAGACTCTTAGGCTGACCCCAGCTGCTCCGTTGTTAGTGCCGCATCTCACCTCCGACGATTGCACAATAAGCAACTACAAAGTACCACGTGACACAATTGTGTTGGTTAATGCGTGGGCCATCCATAGAGATCCTAGTCAGTGGGAAGATCCCACGCGATTCAATCCCGAAAGACACCGAAAGTCAGAAGGTGATCACGCGCACAAGTTCCTTCCATTCGGAATCGGACGACGATCGTGCCCTGGGTCGGGCATGGCGCAACGAGTGGTGGGGTTGGCCCTGGCGGCGATGATTCAATGTTACGAGTGGGAGAGGATTGGCGAAGAGAAAGTGGATATGGCGGAGGGAAGAGGTATCACCATGCCCAAGGTTGTTCCACTGGAAGCTATGTGCAAACCTCGGCCTATCATCCACAACCTTTTTAATTGAAAATTATTGGATTGAGAGGTCTTGTGTACATTTAATAACCAATATGCATCTGTAATCTCTCCTCTTATAGTGTACGAGATTTGAGCTGCATATGCAATGAAGCACCAGATTTACCTTAAAAAAAAATAAAGTTGTTTTAGTTTCAGTATTATATTTGAAGTAGGATAAAAAGATGTTTGTGTCTTTGTCTAGTAGCTTGTTAATTTATTGTATCTATTAATATGTTTTATAATCTATTTGTCTTTTTTGTATTTTGTCTATAACTTATTGTATTATTTCAAGAATATTTTATCTATAAATTTTTGGGATGTTAATCGAGTGGCCAACCTCATATAAGATGTTAACCTCATTGTTAATGTTGGGTCAACTAATTGGCCCCAAAAAGGTATATAGGATCAGTAGGCTCATTGGGCTTATTCGGCTTGATTAACCAATGAAATAAATACTTTATATTAAACAATAGCTAAGTTTGAAATTTTATATAATTATCTAATTAAACCTCAAACTTAAATCGATTTTGCAAGCTAATCTATATTTTAATGGTGGCCAATTCTTTTCACATGTTTTTGAGCTTCATTAATTCTTTTTACATGTTTTTGAGTTCCCAATGAAGCGTTCGATTGTTTTGTATTGATACCAATCTTGAAAATATTCTAACTATCCTTTACCTATTTGTTTTATTTATGTATGTTTATTATGAATTTTAGATTCATATGTAAGACTCGCTTTTAGTCATATATGAACATCTATAAGATCCTTTTGAGGTATGAAGTAACACTTAGCTCAATAGTCAAGAATACTCATGTTCCTAACTTAGCACTCAACGAAACTTCAAGAATACTTGTGTCCTTTCCACACGTCCACAAAGTTTAAATGTGTGATGGTTATGGCGAGAGAGACGTCGAATGTTCATCACGAACTTTCATAGTTATATGATATGAAGCAGTTGGGTGGGTTATAAAACGTGGATGGAGCGCACTTCTCCGTGTATATATAGCTGACCTTGGCCCACTCTCCCTCCAGACGAGCACAGATATGGAGGTTCACTCTCTGCTTTGCCTTTTCCTCTTTCTTTTCAACCTCTGCCGTCGCAGAAACTTACCGCCTACTCCGCCGTCCCTGTCCACCGAACTTTCCAGAACCTCTCTGCAAAATACGGACCAGTTTTCTCTCTCTGGTTAGGCTCTCGCCTCGTGGTGGTCGTCTCATCGTCGGAGGCTGTTGAGGAGTGCTTCACTAAGAACGACGTTGTTCTGGCCAACCGTCCTAAATTTCTAATCGGCAAACTCGTCGCCTACAACTGTACTACGGTGGTCGGGTCGCCGTATGGCGACCACTGGCGCAACCTCCGCCGAATCGGCGCAATGGAGATATTTTCAGCGTCTCGTCTCAACCAATTCGCTGGGATCCGGATGGAGGAACTGCAACGGTTACTAAGAAAGCTATCGAGGAATTCGTTCCGTGGATTCTCGAAGGTAGACATGCAATCTCTGATTTCGGAACTTACGTTCAATATCTCGATGAGAATCGCGGCTGGAAAGAGGTACTTCGGTTCCGATGTGACGGACGAGGAGGAGGCGAGGCAGTTCAGAGAAATGATTAAACAGGCTGCGTCCGTGGCAGGCGTATGGTATCCAGGAGATTTTATTCCGATTCTGAATTGGATTTCGAAGGCGTTCGACTGAAGCTGACGCAATATCTACCACTCAAAAGTGTGCATAGATATGAAAATATTATTACTCAACGAAAGAATACAGATTTTAAGAATAAGGAAAAGAATTGGGATAGAATGTTCTAATCTTCATTGATATTCACGACCTTTAAACAGGATACAAGATACTAAATAATGTCTACCAAGAAAATATAAACTAATTAAATCCTGATAATAAAATAAAATATACTACTATTCAAATTGAACTGATTACGATATCTAAGATATATTTTCTAACTAATATATTATGGAAAATTACGAATATCATATATTTCATAACTAATTCAAACTAAAATAAGTTGCACTAAACTGTGACAGAAGCTTTTGAAACTTGGAAAGAGGATGAACACGTTCTTGCAGGGACTGATCGACCAGCATCGCAGCAACAAGGAAGAAGGACGGGACACCATGATCGATAACTTGCTGTCCCTGCAAGAGTCAGACCCTACCTACTATAATGATCAAATAATCAAAGGAATGGTCCAGGTCACGGTTCAAGCCACCACTAACCGATCGTTCCTTTTAAACTTTTTCTTTCATATTTCTATTTAAGATTTTTAAAACACATCAGCTGTAACGATGGAATGGGCTCTGGCTCACTTGCTCAACAATCCCGAGATACTAAAAAAGGCTAGAGAGGAGGTGGACACTCAAATAGGACAAGAGCGACTAGTGGATGAATCAGACAAGAGCGACTAGTGGATGAATCAGACGCGTCTAAGTTACCTGATGTTCAAGCAGTGATCTTAGAGGCTTTCGACTAAACCCAGCTTCCCCATTGCTAGTGCCGCATCTTACCTCCGACGATTGCACCATAAGCAATTACAAAATACCTCGAGACACAATTGTGTTGGTTAATGCATGGGCCCTCCATAGAGATCCTAATCAATGGGAAGACCCCACGCGGTTCAATCCAGACAGACACCTGGAGTCTGAAGGCGATATGTTGTACAAGTTGGTTCCATTTGGAGTTGGACGACGATCGTGTCCTGGATCGGTTATGGCGCAACGAACAATGGGGTTGACGCTGGCTGCGCTGTTTCAGTGCTACGAGTGGGAGAGGGTTGGCGAAGAGATAGTGGATATGAGGGAGGGGCGAGGCGTCACCATGCCCAAGGCGGTGCCTCTTGAAGCTATGTGCAAAGCCCGTCCTATCATCCACAATCTGTTCGATTGAAAATCGTGCCATCATTAATGGAGCTTAACCGTTTTAGTACTTGGAAGTTGCATGTACAAGGAAGTACCTGTATCTGACAACCCATCAAATAAATATCTTATATTAAGAAAAAAAATATAATTTATATTGTTCAAAATTAATTCGACATATTCATTCACATAAAGTTCTGCCACCCAATAAAATGCTTCTAGAATGGATCAAAAATAAAGAATTAGTAATCTACTTTTGTTTAATTTGTCCTAATTTTTAAATATTTAAAATCTAAAATATTTCATTGAGTCATAACTTATTTAATAAATATACATATCTAAGCCGTTAAAAATTAAAATAAATGTAATCTAAATTTTATGTGATTTAAATATTTTAAAACTAAAAAGGCAGATGAGAATAATGTATTAAAAAATAGTTTTGAAGATTATTTAATTATTTTTTAATTTGTAGTTTCAATTAATTTTGGTGGAATTTGAGACCTCGATCATGATGATAACATGCAGACATGCCGTAGAACATGTCGTAAATATTGGTGTCGCATAATTTATAATAGGCAAAGAAATTACAGTATGAACTAAATAATTATAATTATGTGAAGCAATGTTTAGAAATTGAAAATTGAATTTTTACACTTTTCAAAAAAGAGAATTGGCAATATGAAATGGGGAAAGAATATGTTCGGTTTAATGGCCAGCACCCTTCCTGCTCGGTCCTGAAGCCAACGTAAACGCTACGCCGCCGTCTCCGCTCGATCGGCTACCGGAATCTTCTGGCGACGATGCTGCTATTTCCGAGTCGGAAATAGCAGAGCCGTTGTTGGTACGTTGGTGCTCTATCGTTGAACCGGATCGGAGCGGTCTGCAATCCACGAGAGGAAGAAACCGTGTGGCGGCCATTAGCACCATGATTAGAAGTAAAGAGGAGTTCTTCATCTTGGGCATCGCCGGAGAGTTTAGATTCGGCGAGAGCATAAAGAACGGAGCAGGAGAAAGAAGAAAAAGGATTGGTTTGGCATCTCTCTACTTGCATTGAAACTGTGGTTGGGTTCTTTATATAAGGGCGATGGGTGGCCATGGACGGTGAATGAAGCTTTCCGATGTGGGTCCCCTTTCTGGAGATAGTGTTTGACTCCAAAGCCACTTTTCCTAAATTTTAGCACGGGAATTTTTTTCATTTATATATAATAGATTAATTTTTACAATTTTGAATTTTTTGTTGAAATCCATTATATTAAATATAAAATTGGGAACTTATTTAAATAAATTAATTTTAGTCAGTTAAAACTCCTACTGTTGCATAAAAAATGTTTTTTTTTTAATTTAAGATGCTCAACTTTCATACAAATAAATGAAAGTTAATACTCAATTTTGGATTTTACATATATTTTAATATTATGTATGTAAAAACAAAATTGAAGCACTACAGTTCAAATATGTACTTAAATTTACAATTAGACATTAATAGATAAAATCTAAATAGTATTTTTTTAATAGTTTTATTTTGAAATAAAATCTCTCTATTTATATATATATATAGCCCCTTTTTCTCAGGTATTGCATTTCTAATATTTAATGCTATATTTTATTTTTCTTAAAAAAAAAAAAAAAAAAAAACACAAATTCTTGATAACCGGATGTTCGAAAGTCTTGTTACAATCGAAACAGCTATCTATACGTGTAAATGGTAATTGAGTATTCATTTATTATTTTGCATCTATAATTTGTACAATATTCCAATTTATATTATTGTAGCTTCGAATATTCTATATTATCATAACTTCGCAATATGAACTCAACCTATTATTTCTCTGGAATTTTATTCCCAATCGAAAAATATCCTATATCTAAGAAAAAAAATAAAAAAATATTAATATAAGACCAAACGTAAATTGATTTATAAGTATAAAAAAAAAGCTAAATATAAACGTACCTTAAATTTCATTTTTGATAAAATAAAAACATATTTAAAATGGTTTACTTAAAAAAATAAACAAATATTAAGTAAAAGTTGAAGGTGATGATTAAGATAAATTTAATTAAATGAATATTTGAAACACAACCAGGTCCATCGAAAATAAGAAGAAAAAGAAATAGTATTTGAATGGTAGGAAGGAGAAAGGAGGGGTGGTCCAACTTCCCACGTGTTACTTTTGAACTCCCTCCCCTCTCTTCGTCCATCTTGGAATCAATTTTAGTTTAAATTCCATCCTTTTCCCTCAATTTACTTCATATTCGTTAATTCATGGATGCCAATGCAACTATTTCTCATTAAATCACTAAATTCTCCATAATTTATTAGAATAAATTCCCCCCCTTTTTTATGTCACGACCCGATTTTCGAGGGTTCGAAAACCAGACCGTGAACCAAAAGAAACGAAATCGAAAACAAACAAAAAGAAAGTAGAAGAAAAGAAAAACCAAAGTAAAAATATAAAAATACTTTGAATTAAAAACAAAAGAGAGAAATTTCGTTTGTTAATTATTACAAAAGAAATTGCAAATATAAAATGAAATACAAAAGACTCTAAAAGACCGAAAAGGGACTGACGCTCCGGAACGACCCCCTCTGTGACTGTACAACTCTCAAACGCTCCTCTACCTCGACCAGCAGCCAGTGAACACCTGAGAAAAATAAAGGAGAACGGGATGAGTATAAAAATTATACTCAGTAAGCCACCTACTTGTAGGCTCTCTTCGCATCTTAATTTAACAGAACTCCCACGGTTCCCTAATTCGGTTCTAGGACATTGGGTTCTAACCCTAGTCTATTGGGGCTTGCCCCTTGGGTTTCACCGGTTCATCGTCCTTTCATTAGTCACCTAGAGGTTCCTTATGCCCAGCTAATATGGTCGGTATCTCTCTATGAGGCGCTACCTCTACATGGCTATCTAGAACTACATGGTACCTAGCCTAGGGGTGTGCTGAATACCCCTACGCCCATATAGTTCTCCTATGGGGGGCGCGACCCAACCCGTTCCCATGCAGCTAATGGGCTGTACGACGTGGGGACACATTTCCCATGCGAAATGGCTAAGAACAGTAAGGACTGATCA